TCAATATTCTTTTCAAACACCTGACAAACTTTATTTTGTTATGGATTTTGTTAATGGTGGTGAAGTATGTTCTTCGTTTTTCTTTGAAGATTTTCTTTCCATTAAAATAAATATTATTTATTTATTTAAGTTATTCTATCATTTACAACAAGAACGTGCATTTCCAGAACAACGTGCAAAATTCTATGCTGCTGAAATAACATCTGCTATTGGTTATCTTCATAAACTTGATATTATTTATAGAGATTTAAAACCAGAAAATATTTTACTAGATCGTGAAGTATTTATCATTGAAAAAAAAAGAAAAAATTTTCTTTTTATATAAAGAAAATTTTATTTTAGGGACATATTCGTTTAACTGATTTTGGTTTATGCAAAGTAATGTTATCAACTGAAGGACGTGAAGGACGAACAGCAACATTTTGTGGAACACCAGAATATCTTGCACCTGAAGTTCTACGACGTGAACCATATACAAAAGCTGTTGATTGGTGGTGTTTAGGTTCAGTTATATATGAAATGTTATGTGCTCGAGTACATATTAAAATTTATTTATGTATTCAAAACTAATTGAAATTTTTTTTTAGCCACCATTTTATTCACGTGATGTCAATGAAATGTATGATAATATATTGAATCGTTCACTTCGTTTTATTGGAAATGTATCTGATCGTGCTAAAAATATAATTGAACAGGTTTTATTTTCTAAAAAGAAGAAATTTGAATGACTGCATTTGTTTTAATTTAGTTATTAAGAAAAAGTCCAAATGAACGTTTAGGTAGTGGACCAGAAGATGTAGCTGAAATAAAACGTCACCCATTTTTTGAACAAATTGATTGGGAAAAATTAGAAGCAAGAAAAATTCCACCACCATGGAAACCATCTGTTTCAGGTCCAACTGATCTAACTCAAATTCCAAAAGAATTTATTGATGCTGGAGTATCTCCTGGTGTAACCGACCAATATATGGGAAGTGTTACAAATAAAGGTTCATCATTTCCTGGATTTACATATATTCATGATACAGATCTAAATAGTTAGATTGTTCGCAGAAACTTTTATAAACAAAAATAATTACAAAAACTAGTGATCATTATATATATATATATATACATATATATAGTGTTCTTTTTCTTTCTTCACATTCCGTTTGATGAATGAATGAATGAATGAATGAATGAATGAACAGTGCTCCTTCGATTCTGAATTTTTGGGCGTTTATGCTTGCTCCGTGCATCTACCTTCTTTTTTTTCTTTTGTAAAATTATTTGTAATGAGTGCCTGTATTCTTTTCTTTCTCAATAAATGAATCCTTCTGGTAAGCATCAATGAAATGTATTCGAATGAGCCTTATTCCCATTTCGCTTGTTGGCCACGAACATGGGTAAAAATGGCCACATATTAGCTCATTTGTTACTAACAGCGGCTTCTTCTTTTTCATCTATTTATCACTTACTTTGTCTGTCGCCTCGCTTGCATATGCAAGTGAGGCGACAGACAAAGTAAGTGATAAATAGATGGAAAAGAAGAAGCCGCTCTGAGCAACAAATGAGTTGATATGTGACCATTTTTACCCATGTTCGTGGCCAACAAGCGAAATGGGAATAAGACTCACCAAGAAAGATTTCATTTCTACCAGATTTACAAATTGTTGTGATGAACTAGAAATAATTCAATAAAAATTTGGTTACGAGTTATATTGATTGAAATATCTGTTTTTATTTTATAAAGAATGCAAACATGTTCATTTGAGTCGTATTGTGTGATAGTAGTGTAACAAGATAGAGACTATAGAAGACTTAGTCGCCTGTTGAAGCGTAGATCGAAGGTCTCTGTCTTCTCTACAAATATGGTTTGGTGGTTGAGCAGCCCTCATTCTGTCACACATTTTTTTCTAGTCATGCTTCTAACTTGAAAATATGTTGTAAGCAGTGTCATTAGATTAAGCTGCTTAAGTTCCAGATTGGTAATCAATGTAAAGAATTTTTTCACTATGTAATCGTGTCTAAAAGCTTATAATATAAGCTTAAACGTAATCCTTTCTTCGTAATAGAATACTCCTCGGATCTTCTATTATATCTTCTTTATTTACATAATTTTCAATTAAAAAGATTTTTCAACAAAACAAAACGATTTCGATAATTTCGGAAGAAATTTTTAGAGTTTTAAAAGTCCAAAAATAATATTGACCTCAGTCTTTTTTTAGAATTTTCAAGTCAAAATATCATAAACTGGAGGCATATTGTGATGTAAATATATACAAATGAAAGTTTTAATTTTACGAGAAATCGATTAGGGAAGGAAAGTCTTTGATTAGATCCGGCGCATGATTACTACAAAGGGAGTCGTCTATTGCGAGGAAGATTTTACTTATAAGGCGAAAATTGAAGTTAATTCAAGCAAGCTTACATAGTTAAACTTTCCTATGGATAATAATAGACATATTATCTTGGAAAGTATCTTATTTATTAAAAAATGTTTTTTTTTATATAAGTAGATAATTAGTGTCTAGCATAGAATACTTAAATAATCTGTCACTATAATTATCTAAATAAATTCATTATAAGAGTTTGTTAAATAAATAAAAAACTGTAAGATGTATTTATATAAATCATATATATTCAAGGACATTTTATAAAAAGTTAGTTTGACAAAGCCGACATTTTAATTAGAACATTTTCTTTTGTAGATCAAATTTACTATGTTAAAAATTCAAGTAATATTATTAGTAGTAGCATATTAGATTCAAGGTCATATTTGCGATATAATTTAATAAATAAATAATTGACAGGTGGACATTTTTAACATACCAAAAAAAATATCTAATGCATATGATCAAGTTTATTATTATCTCATAAATTTTTTACCAGGCATAAATATTTCATTAGAATGTAAAAATGATCAATTTATGATATTTATTATTTTTTATAAATAGAGTTATTTAGTTTTATCGTCATTTTATTATATCAAATAAAACAAAAAATGTTCAACAATAGATAAGCATTTTTGCTAAAAATAGAACTTAATGAGATAATAAAAGTCGTTTTTTTGACATATGTAACGGGTGGCGCAGATTAAATGTGCCTCTCAGTATTTTGCATATTTTTCGTCTATAATTCGGCATAAAAAAAAAATTTTTTTATAGAAAGATTCCTTGTCAAATTCTCTACAAAGCGTAGATATTTTTATTATCTTAAATAATTTCCATTATTTCGTAACATGCGATACAATCGATTGGTCAAAGAAGCACAACTTTCAAACAAGACGTTTCTAGCAGATAGTTTCATGAGAAGACAATCAAAAAGCAACGCAAAGCGTTCAGAAAAAACTTCCTTCATATGAGTTTTTGTAGAGCTTTTTTCGCTGATTCTTTTGGTAAAAAAATGTTTTTGAATTCCATTTATAAATGATAATGTTATGATCGAAATACTAAACAAGCTCGAAATGCAACTTCGCCTGGTGAGTAATATGAAAAGTCAATTAGTATATCTCAAAACGGTTGTATTGTGGAGATATATGAGATAGCAAGTTTTGTAGAGGAAAGTCTGCTCTACAAAATCCTGTAGGCGATTTTTCAGATACACTGGAATATTATGAATAAATTCCGTTAGAACATTGTAAAGAATATCTTCCCCAAAAACAGAAGGTATCATTCTTTGATCCTATACAATCTTCCATCGAGATTTCTTCAAAGTATTTAAATGTATTTGAGAATCCGACTATACTGTGTTGTAGAGCAAACTTTCCTCTACAAAACCTACTGAGCTAAATTCCTTCATAGAACAGCAGGTTTAAGACATGCTAATCCTACGAAAAACTTCTTGTTTGAAAGTTGTACTTCTTTGACCAATCGATTGTATCGCATGTTAAAAAATAATGGAAATTATTTAAGATGATAAAAATATCTACGCTTTGTAGAGAATTTGACAAGAAATCTTTCTATAAAAAATTTTTTTTTTCGATGCCATATTATAGACGAAAAATATGCAAAATACTGAGAGGCTCATTTAATCTGCGTCACCCGTTAATATTTAGTAAATAAGTCTGTTATGCAAGAAAATTGATTGGTTTAATTATGAATGAAAAGTAGATTATTATTATTATTCTAATAAATTCTCTATTCTTTCAACTGAAGAGTATTTATTGGAATTATTCTTCGTATAGAATTTTATAACATTTATTTGTCAAGATAAAACGTCTATCATATAGAACTCAAACTTCTCTTTTTTTCTACAACACGGTAAAATTTATAAGACACATATTGATTTATTTAAATAAAATAAAAGTAAATAAATTTGTTTTATGATGATCCAATAAAAGTATAAAATGTCATTGGAGACATAAATGGTTATGTTTAAAACATTTATACTTTATTCACATATATTAATAATAATTCTAAATATAAAGAATCCTTTGAAAAGAAACAACCACTTTTTACCTATTAGAGATATATGATCGATAAATCAAATCTCGAGTCCTGCGAGACAGTCCTAAATCGAGCAGCTGCTAAGATTTATTATCTCGGGATTTTTCTATAAATCCTGTTATACATTTTATTATCAAATGGAAAGGATTAATTTGCGGATAGGCACCTAATTGAACATAAAGGCTGACTCATGAGAACTATAATTCTCTTTTTGTACAATTAAAATATAGTATATGCTATTAATAAATAAATTTTGGTAGCTTCTCCAAAACTCACATTTGTCTCGTCCCGCAGGACATTCAAGATTGTCCCACAAGACTCTAATCAGATCTAATTCATTCCAAGACACTAAGAAAACTTCTGAAATCCACAATTAAAAAAAAAAAAAAGAAATAATTATTTCTTCATTACTTTGAACTAATTGTATCTTTATTAATATCATATATATGTATATGTATATAACTTTTTACATTTTATTCATTTAAATCATGATCAAATCAGTTTTTATTCCATAATAAACAAAAACAAATGTTATTATTTTTTGGTTGAAACAATATATTTAAACACATCAATTTAAACAAGACCACCTTTTTCCATTTCCATCGATGGATTAAATCGTTTACCAAATCCACCACGACCTGGATCATAATCTTTACGATATTCATCACGTACCTAAAAAAAAAAAACATTTTAAAAAATTTGGAAAATTCATGATAATAAAACACAAACTTGTCCACCACTTCTTCCTCGACCATATTGACGTCCATCAATAAAACCAGCATCCCAATCAGTTCGTATAATTCTATCATCAAGCCGTGTTTGATTTATATATCTCATAGCTTGTTCAGCATCTTGTCTTGTATAATATTCAACAAAACAAAATCCACCTAAATGAAAATTTTCATAAAATTTAAATAAAAACAAAACCCATGAATATAAACTTTACATGGTGTTTTGGTTGTTTTATCTAAACCCATTATAATTCGTTTAACATCACCAGTACGTGAAAATAATTCATGTATTTGTTCTTCTGTTGTAAAAAATGATAAATTGCCTACATAAAGTGTTGTACTTGTTAATAATTTTTTATCTTGATCTCCTTCACTTCCCTTTTAATTTTCGAAAGAATAGAAAATAAGAATAAATTTAATTTAATAAACAAAAAAAAAATTATTTTACTCGAAATTGTCGATCACGATATGAACTAAGTGCAATAGATTTTTGAAATAGAAAAGGTATTGTAAGATCCGACATAATTAATCTGAAACAAAAAAGAAAAGCAATTTTTTTAAGCAATTTTCATAAATATGATACACCAATTTCCATCATCATTATATGAATTAATTATTTTAACTTGAGATATATGATTTAATATATGCTCAAGTTCATTCTTTATAAAAACATGATAATATCTTAAAACTTTTTCTGTTGGTTTAGCCCATGGTACAAGACAATCCGGTTGTTGAAATTCTGTTCGTGGTGTATGAATAATTAATTCATTTGTTGTTTCATTTTTTGTATGTATTGGACAAGTTTTAGCATTTTTAGTAATATATGTACTTTTTTTATTATCTATTTCTTGTTCTTTTGCCCATACAGTGACAAGTGCTTGTCCACCTGGTTTTAATATACGAACTATTTCTTTTAAAGCTAACAATCTTCGTGCCTTACAAAAAAAAACAAAAGAAGATAAGATTTAAAAAGAAAATATAATTTTTTTTTGTTATTTACTTCAGTACTTATATGATGAAGAACAGCAATACAAATGACACCATCAAACATATTTGTTGGTACAGGTATATTCATACAATCAGAAAGAAAAACTTCAAAATAACGATCTCGACATATTTTTAAAAGACCTTCACTTCGATCACAACCAATCTACTATTGTAACAAAAAAAATTAGATATGAAGAAAAAAAGAAACAAAATAATTTCTTTACCATCATAATATCATTTCTTATATTCATATATTTTCCATTTCCACAACCAACATCAAGAATTAATGAACCATTAGAAAATGAACATAAAAAATCGACAACACGTGGCCATGGTTTATAACGAGTATTACTAAAATTATGAGCTATCTCATTATAAACTTTATGAACATGTTCTTGTTCAAGTTGACAAGCATCTAATTCAGATTTTGGTAATGTTAATGGACGAGAAGACGACGACATCTATTCAATAAAAATGAAAAGAATTTATTTTCAAAGAAAAATCATTCAAATTTCAATTCATATTTATTTATTGTATTTAAAACAAAAAAATACAAAAAAAAAACAATGAATAAAATTAGATTTTCATTTTAATGACCAACACGATCACGAGGTATAATTCGAAGTTCTGCACCATGTTTAAGAAAAACATTACCTTAAAAAATGTACTATTATAAGTAACAATTGATAAAGAAAAAAAAATTTTTTTTTTTTGCTATATCCTACCGGCTGTTTGCGATGGATTAATACCAATTCCATCATTAGTAATAATTGCACTTGTAGCTGCTTGTACTTTAAACTAATGAAAAAGAAAAAAATTTCAAAATCATATAAAAACGAAATCCATATCCACCTCTTCAGCTGCAAATTTTAACACAGCTGTAAATGGCGTATTTTCCGGTACACTTAATCTAAAAAAGAAAAAAAATTAATCAATTAAATTAAATTAAAATCAATATTTACACTTTAAATGGTAATTTAGGATCAGAAGTTAATGTTATTTTAAATGTTACTTTAGCATTACTAACTGATGATGTTGTTAGTTCATTAGATCCCATCTAGAATATCAATAAAAAAAAATCTAATACCATGAAAACTAACAATAAAAAAATCAAATATCTCGTTCATAGATTTCTAAATGATATGAGGGTGTTTTATTATTTTCATCTTGATTTTCATGTGAATCTTCAAAAAATTGTCGATATTCATCAGGAATCGGTTCAATACGTTTAAAATTTGATACATCAAATGATGACCAAACAGCTGTACATTGAAAATCACCTTTAACACGTGTTACAAATATATGTTTAACAAGATTTGTTTTCATTGCTTCTTCATAAATTAATACTCCACCAATAATAAAGATATTTTCAATATTTAAATTTTCATTTGCACATTTTAATGCATCATTAAATGTTTCAACACATGTAACATTTGAATAATTTGTATTTGGTAATGATCGATTACTAGTAACAACAATATTTAAACGATTTGGTAATGGTTTTGGAAATGTTTCATATGTTTTTCGTCCAACAATAATAGCATTTTGTTTATTTGAATCATTTACTTTTGATGTTACATGACGAAAAAATTTTAAATCATTTTTAATATGCCATGGAATTGTATTATTACGTCCAATACCATTACAATCATCCAGAGCAACAACAATTGTTAAAAATTTTTTATCCATTTGTATTCTTGAAAAAAAACGACGAAAAAAAATCATCAAGAAAAATAAAAGAAATAAAGTATAAATGAGAATTTGAAAAATTTCTATAAGAAATTTTTAAAAAAATTAGAAAATATTGCTTTGTAGCTTTTTTTTTTAACCATTTTCATATTGGTAGAATAATTGAATAAAATATAGAATTTTATATATGTTGATTCTCAATATGATCAAATAAATTATTGTATTCAGTAGTTGTTATACTAAAAACAATCTGATTAAACAAATGTAAAAGGGAGAATATCTCTTTCGAGTAATGACATATATAATTCAAAGTACAGCGAAGTATAGTTTCGAATAATCCAAGGCTTTGTCTATAGTTGAGAAAATGATCATTCACTTGCGTAAGGTTGATCTTAGGTTTTTGAGTATTGGAATTTCCAGAAACATATTTATTCTTTAGTAGCACATCGGTAATCATATCATCTGAATAAAGTCGAACTGTAAATATAAATCATAATATTGTATGCTCGATCTGAGACACTAATTAGAACTAACTTATTCATAATTAAGTATAATCCATGGTTGAATAAAGTGGTTTTTCCTTTTTTTAAATCTCGTGAAATTTTTCAATCAATAGACCAGCATTTCTAATAGAAATCTAAAACAAAGTGTCTTTTTTTATACATTGTTTATACTAGTGAAATGTAAGCTTACATCCTCTTTACGTAAGTACAGTATATCAAAATAAACAATGTCAAAGTTTTATAAAAGAAAAAAACTGTATTAAAGGAAAAGGACGAGAAAAAACTTATTGATGATAAAAAAAAACGATCATAAGAAAAAAAAAATTTTTTTTTTCTAGATTTAATCAAACAAAGAAATTGAAATATAAAAGAAAAAAATCAAATAAGTTACATTTACTATTTTTTTGTGAAAAAAAAGATATCATCATCTAGAAAATAAAGTATATTGAGTATATTCTCCTATTCTGTACAATAGCATGTACATCAAAAGTAGCACATATTTCGTACATTCTGCTTCTTACTTGATACATCTCTCATTAAAAATAATGTAATTGACTTCATTCTATTATCCTTATCGGTCATTCAAATTGACCAATAACGTTATTGTTTCATCTTAATAAAAATTTTAAAAAAATTATTTAATCATAAAACTTTTAAATTTCATTTTTTTGTTTTTTTGTTTGTAAAATAGGTTCATTGAAAAAAAAATTATTATTATTTAACAACTGGTTAAAATAAACCAATGAAAATCTTTATGATGACGTCACCTGATTGAACATCGTCACATGGAATTTCTTTTTCGTTCTGTTTTGATTTTTTTTAATATTAATTTTTTTCCTAAATGGCTGACACAACAAATTCCAATGATTTACAACAAAATTCATTATCTGATACAGTATCTAATACTAATGAAATACCTTTATTAATAGGAACAGATAATTCAACATCTGATTCAGGTGATGTTGAAGAACCTCCAGCAAAAAAATGTAAAATTTCATTAAATGATAAACCTCGTTTACTTGAAGATCGAATAGGATCTATTTTATCATGTTGTATTTGTTTGGATCTTTCGACATTAGCAATGTTTCAAGTAAGAATTATCTCATATTCTTAACTAAAAAAAAAAAAAGAAACTAAAATTAAATTTATTTTAGTGTGTTAATGGACATCTTATGTGTGTGTCATGTTTTAATCATTTATTAGCTGATTGTAAATTAAAAGATGAACAAGCAACATGGTATGTTAGAATAAATAAAATAAAAAAAGAATTAATTTCATTAAATCAATGAACATTTCTTGTTTTTCTTTTTTCTTAGTCCAAATTGTCGTTGTGAAATTTCAAAATCAAATTGTACAAGAAATTTAGCAGTTGAAAAAACAATATCAGAATTACCAATTCAATGTGATTATTGTTCGAAAATATTTTTACGTTCAGAAATAAAAATACATCAATCACAACATTGTCCTGATCGGTAATATTTTTATTTTAATAATTAAATGTATATAAGTATATGTTTTAGACCAATAATTTGTGATTATTCATTACTTGGATGTAATTGGAATGGATCATATCATAATTTACCATCACATTTAATTCTATGTGAATATCCAAATAAGACTGGTTTAGAATTAATCAATACAATTCGAGCACAAAAAACAAAATATGATGAAGAAAAAAAAAGTCTTGAAACAGTAGTTGATTTACTTTCACTTAATCAAATTGGTGTTAGTGGTAAGTTATTATTATGAAAGAAAATTTTTATTGAATTGTACAAGGTATTCCAAAAGTCATATCAACTTAATAAATGCGTGTAATTCAGTTACTGATCAAGCTTAACTTAATAATTCTTTTTTTTTTGTCTAACAGAAGAGATTTTTAAGTTTTTATTCCTAACTACAAAGTTCATAAATACCCTTTAGAAGACTGTCATTTCTGACTATCACATAAAAATTTAACATTTTTCCAATGTTAGAAAAACGGTATATAATGTTTCTTCTATATTTAATTCAATTTCTATCGTTATTATAGACTTTAAACAATTATCATTTCCTCCTATTGCTTTATTAGCAGTCGTTTCGATTTTTTTCTTACAGAAAGAATGCAACAATGTGAAGTTTAATGGTACTAAGAACCATAAAATCCTTTGGTACTTTCCTTTTACCAATTATCAAAGCTTTCCCTGTGTCATGGAAAAATCTGCTTTTGAGAAAGGTACAAATAGGTCGATCGTCGCAAAAAAAAATGTCAAATAAATGGTTGTAGAACAGTGATAAGAGATGTTTAAGATTTAGAGTCTATAATAATGATAGAAATTGAATTAAATATAGAAGAAACATTGTATACTTTTTTTATAACATTGAAAAAATGCTAAATTTTGATGTAACAGTCAGAAGTGATAGTCTTCTACTGAGAAACTGAAAAGTCTCCTCTCTCAGATATAAAAAAAATTATTGGGTTAAGCTTGATCAGTAGTAATTAAGTTACATACACTTATTAAGTGGACATGACTTTTGGAACATTCTATATATTCAAGTAGAAAGATGAGATTCTAACAAAATTTCATAAGAGGAAAAAGTAATCTATTTAATTTAATCAATTTTGTTGATTTCATAGATCTTATATTGAAGCCATTACGAACAGATGATTTTGTTGCCAAACTTTATTTTGAAACATCACGTTTTACAGCCTTACAATATCAATGGCAAGTACGTGCTCGTATTAATGATAATATTCCTCATCCACATACAACAGTTACACGATCATTAAGTTATCAATTAATTCTTAAATCAAAAGTTAGTCAAACAATTGATTTAAAATTTTTTATTCTTAAAGGACCACATGGTGATTCATCAACATTACAAATTCAACCAATTATTTATCATTTTGAATTTAATCAAAACAATACTGAAACTGAATATCTTAAATTACCTATAAGTTCACAAGAATGTAATAGAATTTTATCATCATCATCAATTAGTTTTCGATTACTTATGGTGCAATTAGATAGACCTTAAAATGAAAAACAATACAGTTATTTATTTTCTCTTCAGAGAGATGTTTAATTTTCGAAGGTTTTGATTTTTCTTTGTTGAAACGCATATATTTCTTCATAGAACCTGATATTTGTTTTCTTTTTCTTTGTTTTATGTATTCTGTTCAATTTAGTATGCATATATATATATATATATATAGTTTTTTCTCTCATATACATGGATGTCATTTATTTTAGAAACGCAGCTGAAAAAAAAACACGTTAGTCATGAAAAAAATAGAATCTTGTATTTTCAAACTGATATTATTTATTATATAATATAACATTTAGAATTAATAGAAGATGAATTTATTTCTTATAATTTCTCAAAGAATTGTACATTTTTTTTTGCTCTATATTGGTTCTTGTGTGCTGATTACTTTGACTGGTACTAATATGATTAATGCTGGATAGAATGATAAAATCAACATAGATGAGTAAACATCGATATTGATAGCTTCTAAATATCCAATACGAGCGATAATATTATTATTAATCCGATATCATTTATTAAAATCAGAGAAACTCTATTGGTACAAATAAAATGGATATAGAAAACTCGGCAACTTTTTACATAGTGGAATATAACTAAATGAATGAGAATGAAAGAATACTAATTATAAATTGAATATAAGTTTCAAAATTATAAAGATCAATAAAATACACAAAATTCTATTTTTGTCAAAAGATTTTTTTGTTCATTGAATTCTTTATAATCGAAAAAAACCTTTAACAGTCATTGATAACTACGCATTTCTTATTAGTAAGTACATTTAGTTTAATTTTTAAGATGACTGTGGAATGAAGAACACAAAAAAAAGTCAAAAGAACAATAATAAAAAACTTAAAACAAAAGACAAAGGGAAAATAAGTTGTCCATAAAGACGTCCCAGTAGAAGAAGAGGAGCGGATGGCCTAGGGATATCTGGACATTCAGATACTTATAAAAAATATTTCTGTTGCTTTAGAAGCATCCTTTCACGATATTTTCAAGTTATGTTTGTGTTGAGAAAACACTTCTCAAACATCAGACCGTTTGAATTCCATAGAGGATAATGTACAAACAAATGACATATGAAAAATATATCAATTGTTCCGATGGCATCAAAAAGGAGAATTGTTTGTAGACTAATAGCATTCTCAAGTGTATTGTTCTGTGAAGTGTTGTAACTTAGAGAATCAAAATCTTTTGATTGATCATGTGTCTATAACATCTAAGTTTCTTAAAGACAAATATTGTCTAGGACCAAATATTGGCCTGGAACATTACACTCTTTCTCACTTCTCATCTATTCTAATTGTTATTATTATCCTCCTGTCGTCATCAGTCATAATATTTTTTATAACAAAAAGAAAAAAACATGAGTGTTATAATATGAAGTATTATCAATTGGCTTATCATGATGTGAAACTGCACCGCTTGCCAGCAAGAGTCATTGTTATATGAAGACAGGAAAAAATATTCTAATCTTCCAGTGAATAATGATTTGTATGAAATAATATGTAAAATAATATCGATTAGAATTTTTCTACCAATAGTAAAACAAAAAAGACTAAAATAGTCTCTAAAATGATTCATCCTAGTTACTATTTTTTCTCTTTTTTTTTTTCTTTTATCCTGTGCAATCAAACACCATCAACAGTAACAATAACAAGACACTCATACGAATAGCTTTATACTGTCATTTTTCCATTTCTGGCATTACTCACATCTCTCGGTCTGTTGGTGATCCATATCAATCTCTTTTTCTTTTTTTTATTTATCAAGAGCGTAATAGAATAAAAAAAAAAAGTAATGAGAAAAAGACAGAAAGGAGAATAAGTTGATTGAACGAAGGAGATCCAACATTCTCTTTTCTTATTCAATTGAATTTATTAAGATCAAACATCAAACTATTGTAATATTGACAACGAAAGTTGACGACAATTTATCTGATTGTGGGTTCTATATTAATAAAGACAAATTTAAATATTTTCTCATGATATGTATTAATAATATTGCAATTCGATGAGAACAACTACCAGTTGGAAATGAGACTATCGAATGACAATAATCGATATAAAAATAAAAATATAAATCGTGTTGCTACGTTCGCGTTCTTTTTTTTTTTCTTTTTTTTCTTTTGTGTTACATCGTACTCGTCCTTTCGTTTACCTCTGACATGGCATATTTATGTCAATATTTTTATCGTTTTGTTTTTTCTTGTTACTGATTATCGAAATGAGTTATATACTATTCCAATCATTTCTTAAATATGAAAAAATATCTTCTTTTATTTGCAAAAAGACAAATGTTCTTATTTTTTTTTTACTCTTCTATTTATTTATTTTTTTGAAGATTAATATAAAGACAAGAAATTCAATGAATTCAAACAAAATATGACTTCCAATATAGATTTAGTTCGTAAAAAATTAGTTGTTGTTGGTAATGGTAATGTTGGTAAAACATCATTACTTTATGCATTTAAAGATAATCTATTTTGTCAAGATTATGTTCCAACATTATTTGAAGGAAATACACATGTTATTGATGTTGATAACAAACGTATTGAATTATTGTTAATTGATACAGCTGGACAAGAAGAATATGCTAAGTAAAATTTTTATTCCATTTTTTATCTTGTTTTATTTTATTTTATTTTATTTTAGGCTTCGTGTTCTTGGTTATTCAAATACTCAAGTTATATTAATTTGTTTTGCTTTTGATGCACCAGATAGTCTCACATGTGTCTCAGACAAATGGGCACCTGAAGTAAAACATTATTGCCATAATGTTCCAATACTTTTAATTGCAAACAAACGTGATTTACGTGATGATCCATTTGTACATGAACGTATTAAAAGTCAAAATCAAAAAATAATTACAACTGAAGATGCACTTTTATGTGCAAAAAGAATTGGTGCAAAAAATTATCTTGAATGTTCAGCTAAGACACGTGAAGGTGTAAGAGAAGTATTTGAATATGCAGCTAAAGTTGCATTGGATAAAGATTCACATGATAAATGTTTTTGTCATTGTATTTTATTATAATTATTTTCTGTATGAGTGAACAAAGCTCAAATCTGTCCATTGTGTATTTTTTTTGTGTGTAAATTTCTTTTGAGAATAATCGAATGATTCTATGTATTTTTATAGGTTAAGAAAGAATGCATATGGACAAATATGCCTTGAAAATTAAATAATCCGAAAGTGAAACTTCAGTTGGATATCATGATTTAAATTTCATGTGAAACTAACATGGATTCGTTAGTCATTTTGTCTTAATATTAGTTTAATTTGACATTCAAAAAAAAAAAAAAGAGAATAGAGAAAGTTATTTTTTTCTTATTTATTTGACTCATTTGAATATTAAACCTTTGTATTATGATTTAAATTATTCATATGATTTGTCTTGGAATATTTACAAATGCATTATGTAGTGCTTGTCAAAATTATGCAACTGGGTGCAAAATTATTTTGTGTCCTTGTGGTAAGTACTATAAAGAATCTTAATAGTAATTTGAGTAGAGAAAATTTTTCCAATAAAATGAAAAGAAAATTATATTACTCGGTATATTCTCAAAAGTCAGGATTTCTAGAAAACCCGAAGCCTAGATTTTCAGCACTCAGAGTTCAATAATAAAAGGTCGTGTGGATAACAGAAAACGATAGAATAGGACATTCTTCGATGAATAAAACTTCTCTAAGCTCTCCAGGACATTATTTGGCTCAGCTATACGAATTTTACAAAGATCCAAAAGACGTTTGTTTTGCGCTTTCCAATGAGAAAAATATATTTAAAAAAGCCTTGCAGAGCTTCTGAAAAGCTCATGTACTTCAACCAAATAATGTCATGGAGAGTCGGAGACGTCTTATTTTTCTGAAAATATTCTATTCTTTCGTTTTTCGTTATCAAATCAAACTTTTATTATCGGACTCCGGATGCTGAAAGCCTAGGTCTCGGATTTTCTAAAAAATTTTGAACTTTGAAAATATACCTAGGAGTTTAATTTCTTTGTCATTTTGTTGAAAACAATTTTCTCGATTCAAATTACTATTTAAATTCTTTGTAGAATCTTTTGCAAGGGCGAAGATTTCCAATTTATATTCAGTGAGATGATTTGGTTGGCTATCGTATGTACCTCGATATCATTCTGAAATATTTCTTAGAATGAGTACGCAAACATCGCCACTGAGTTGCACTTATTGATCCAAAAAAAAAGAGTCAGCCATGTTATAAGTGTCCTACAGGAATGAATAAAATTTTATGCTTTTTTTTTTATCGAGACCATTCAGACTGAAAGCAATCAAGTGTTCTTAGTAAATACATAAACAAATATTGAAAGAATATTCACAATGAATAAACTATACTTCTTTTATATAAATGACGCTTCATCTAAAAGTGATATACTGAAAGGACTTCTAATACACATATTTCTAATGCATACAAGATTCTTTATTCATGAAAACATTTTCTTATTGAATAGTCAATCAAACTGATATGTTTTTATTTGAATATCTAAAATTTCTTTCTTTCAAGTCCTTAAGTTTAACTCTCAAATAATAATACAATAAAAAAATTAAATGTATTGTGTAAATATAATATATGATTCAATTCAATAGATGAAACTGATCTTAATTGTTTACGTAATTCTAATGCTTATTAGTATTTCACGAATATTGAAATTCGTTCATTTTATATTGTATTCTAAAGTGATTAACTTATTGATAAAGCTATATTTGAAGATAAACGTCAACGTCTAACGTCTGTGTAATATATCATCAAATTGAATATATGAAATATCTTAAGTTTGCCATGAAGTATTTTGTTGTTAATTCTATTTCTTTTATTGGTTGGAATGGAGATATTAGGAAAATAATAACTTATGAATTTTTCTATTCGTCCAATCATTCAGTTAACTTTTGTATAACTATCAATAAAAACGATAAGAGTAAAATGTCATTAATTTACATAAAATATATGTATTATTTCTTTAAAGATATGTTTTGTTTTATAGTAAGAAGAATATTTTTATTATAAATGCTATTTAAGCTTTGAATGATTCATTTTTTCATCGACAAGATTTGCAATAAATTCTATGATGAATGAATGAGCCATTTCTCGAGATGACGGTTCCCAATCAGCAGTTTGCAATTCAAACGATGCTTTTATACGTTCATTAATTCGATCACAGAGCTGTTGTTTTACTTCATTGTACGTTGCTTTTCTATGATTCGTCTCATTAATTATCATTTCATTTTTATCTGGATAATCCGAGTTACGAGGAATACGATAAGGCTCAGATGTTGAACGATACATATCATCGATAGTAGGATTATGTTCATCCTATTAAAACTTTTAAGATTAATAAAGATTTATATAGTTAAATAGACTTACATAAAAATCTATATGCATAGAAGCCATACATTCAGCAGCGGCTTTAATAATTTCCGCTTCAAAATCATCATCGAGAATATCTTCTGGAGCATATGTATGTGTATTAGTTCTAGAAAAATTATCTGATTGACTTTGAGTTGATTGTTCAGCTAGTGAGATTTTCGGTTTGTTTTTGAGATAGCTCGTCGATTGCTCATTGTCTTTATTACCAGAGCATGTACTACCCATGTTAATATGTTGTTGTTGTTGTGGTAATTAGTCTTTAATCTGCAATATGTTACACTCTTTTATTGTATAGAATACTACCATAAATTTTGAAATTCATAAAACTTTTGATTTCTTCTTTTAGTCTTGCAAACTGTAATGTTTATCATAAAGTAAGTATACTTCGCAGAGAACTTAAGTATTCTTTTTTTTTATGGTATGATAACGTTTTCTATTTTATCAACATCAAAATATCGACAACTTACATATGAAACTGACACATTTATGGATTTATTGTCATATGGTGACTGTTGCCATCTAGTTTGTTGTCTTATCATTTTACTTTCTATTCGTCATACTTTTACATGAAGAATGATAACAATTGATATTGCCGTAATAACATCAATATTTCAACATTTGTGGGTATGTAAGTCTTTTCGATAGACAATGTCGGAAGATCTTTCATTGAATGATGTAGTAATGCCTAAATGTTTTACACGTATAGCAGTGATATTTGATTATAAAATAGATGATTTAGAAGAACCATTAATTGAATTTCTTCGAAAATTTTGTCCAATTGCATTTTGGAAAATTGTTTATGATCATAATAAACCAAATTATGGTCAATTAGTAGAATCAATATCGAATTTAAATAAAATATTTAGTCGAACTGAACAACCTGATATTCCTATTTCTAACTATATTAATTGTAGTTTTCAAGAACTTGATGTATATCCTTATTCAATTATACCAACCGACGATGCGCCTTTATTTTTTCTTCATCAAATAAATGTTCGTGATGGAACATTATTAGCATTTGGTATGAATCATCAATTTTCTGATGGACGTGGATTTTTTACATTGATCGATCGATTTTCTAATTGGATGCGTCATAAAGATGATTCAAAAGTAATTCCATTTATTTTTGATCGATCTCTATTAAAACCAGCGACAAATGTTCTTTATGAACATAACGAATATACTATCCAACCACCTAATTATTCTTACAAGGAACTACCTGCTATGGATGTAATTGTTAAAAAATTTAGTAAAAAAGAATTATTTGATAAATTAAAAATAATAGCGACACATGTTTCATTTAATGATGTTCTTGTTGCTTGGTTAACTCAAGCAATAAGTCAAATACGTCAAATACCATTAGATCAAACAATTAATGTTGGTATGGCAAATGATGGTCGAAATGAGTTAGGTATTGGTTTAGATTATTTTGGTAATTGTAATTTTTACTTTTCACTTCAATTTAAAATGATTGATTTATTAAATAAAACCGTTAATGAATTAGCTGAACAAATTAATGTCGAAAAAAAACAACGAATGACAAAAGATTACATGACATCAGCATTGGCTTGGATTAAACAAGTTTCCAAGCCTGTTCATCCAGGTTTCAAAGCATTTTTAGGAAAAGATTTAGCTTTTACAAACTGGTCACGCTTTCCACTCTATCAATTTGATTTTGGTCAAGGTCCACCTCGACGAGTTGCATTACCGCCTAGTCGATGGGATGGTTTGATTTTGATTTTACCAACTGAAACAAATGCAGTCGAAATATATATTGGTTTAAAGCAAGATCATGCTGATGAACTTCGTAAACGAATTGAACAGTTGTAGTTTTTGAAAATGCACTTAGTGAGACATTCATCGGTTGCTTGTCTGTTGATTTCTTATAATTGAATCTATTTTTTTTGACTTATTGATTGTATGTTAAAGAATCAAATAAATTGTAGTTCGCTGCTTCTTTGGAAAGCATAACAAAGTTATATTAATTTTATTCGAAGCCTTGCTAACTTTCATAAATAATAGTACTTAATGTCCTGACGCAAAAAGTCATTATCGAAAATTTTTTAAATGATGACTTGATAGTCTTCAACCTCTGGATTCCAAAAGTCTTCCTAGTCAAAAACTGATTTGTAGAATTTTCTTATGTTAAATAATAGAAGATTGAAACTTTCACACAAGATACTAATTAATAAAACAAACATTTTATTAAATAAAAACGATTTAATTATCAATATTATATGTGCTAGAATTATACCTAAATGTTCTATCCATCTATTAAATGTTCAAAGGCGTCAAGGCAAATCCAATTGCTCAGTATGACGATTTTGATTTTTATCGGAACTGCTTATTGAGAAGACTAAGGATTTCGATGTGAGGATAACCCCATTTTTTGGATCTCGCTGGCATAGATCGTAGCAAAAAATTATTTATTTTCATGATCAGAGAGTTTAAACGCTTTGAGAAATGCTTACTAGATTTCTTGCTGAAAAAAAAACTCATCGATGGTAAAGTGCTGGCTAATACCAGAATATCATTTTTTTAAAGGTTCATGTGAATGGATTATGAATATTTATTGTTTTTCTCACAGGAATCCTTTGTCTTTTGAGTAGGAACTTTAGAAGTTTAGGTAAAAATCAAAATCGGCTCCCAAAATCCTCATACTCAACAACTGGTTTCGACTTTTACATCTTTACAAATTCAATAGTTGGATAGAATGTTCAAAAATGGTTGTAGTGGATATAATATTGATAATAATATCATATTCCTTGTGGAAGAATTTAAGCTCCGAAAGCTTCGAGAAAATCGAGTTTTCTGAATGACTTTTCGATTCAAGTGAAACGTTGGAGAAAAATTTTTCAGTTAAGAAAACGTTTATCTTACTGATTAGTATCTTTTGTAGATGTGCCAATCTTCTATCATCTAAAATCAATAAATTCGAGAAATCAGATTTTGGCTAGGAAGGCTTTTGAAATCTGAAGTGGAAAGTTGTCGAGATACTATTCTTTTAGAATTTTTAATGGTGATTTTTGACGTCAGAACATTAGGTTCTACTACTTCTGAAAGTTGGAAACACTTCGGATAAAACCAATGTAAATTCTACTACACTACATAACGAATTGCTCATTATAAATTGAAATTTTATCGACTGTAACAAAAGAAAAAAAAAATTATTTTTGATAAAATAGATGTTCGTTCCTTCATCATTTAATGGCCAATTAGAGTTTCAATTGATATGGATCAATTTACAAAGTTGTTGTAGTTTCGATAAGATTTGTCATAACAATTTTCATTAATTGATAAAAATCATATGTATGGTAATTTGATCGCAAGATCCAAAAAGTAAAATGAATGATAAAGTTCAGATTATCAATAAATTCAAAATAGAATAGCAAATTCTGAAGACGCTCAGCATTAACACAATTCAATCACCAACATGTCACATTGAATAGTGCGAGCTCTTATTATATCTAAGTCATTGAATTTCATAACTTTTCTTTCTTTTGTTAAAAGTACTGATATTGTTTTTTAATAAACAACAATATGTAATTATTTTATTTCTAATTCTTATTTATTTTCTACTCTGTTTTTATTTTATCTGTATTTCTACTGGTCACTGTCATCATGAATTATTTTCTATAATCTATTATCAATGTTATACATTATTTCAATCAATTATTCAATTATTATATAATTATGAATTAAGTATTTCATATCATAAACAACTAATCAATTCTTTGATAAAATATTTTCTGGATATATGCGATAAAATTAATTATTTATTTACAATGTTCTAGAAATACGATAATCATTAAAACTTAGATAACACATATTGTGAGAATCAAGAGATACTCATCTTATATACTTTAGTTTTAATCTTAATATGATTTATTATTTTTTATCATTAATCTGCAGGTATTATAAAGTTAAAAGTGCTTCGCAAAAAAAAAACACTATAGCAACATAAATTCTATTTGTTTATGATTATGATCAGAATAGTTTTAAGTATATTTGTATTGAGTATTCATTATTTTGAATTTTTGTGGAAATATTTTGAAGAACCTATTCTATTTTTAACAATTCGAAAATGTAATAATGAATCGGCATTATCGTCTAATAACAATATTCGATCGTTTTTATCGCAACTATTTGCAAGAATTTTAGTTTTATTTTTTAATTCTTCATTAATGACAAAACAACAACAACAACAAGAATGTAAACTATACAAAATTAATCTTCATCTTCCTATTATATTTTTTATATTAAAATGCTTATCTATTTCCTATTATTTTATTCTTCTTTTGAAAATTCTTATGTGGTTCTATGAAAAACAATGTTACTTTATAATTCAAAAACAAATTAAACCATTTGTACACATTCGATCAGTTGCTTTAATTAGTAACAATAAATAATCAAAGATTTTAAATATAATCTGTTACAAAATAAACAGAGAAAAAACAAATATCCTCAGGTCCAAGAAAATGCAGTCGTAAACGATATAAGACGGTAAACACCGACCTCATTACGTCGCCGGTTTCCTTAAACTCGTAGAAGAATAAAAAAAAATAGGGAGAAACAATGATTGTTTAACTAGCAAAATACCCGATACAGGACGATCGTTTCGACTGTTGGAAGCGGTACCTTAAACGATCCGAAACGAGTATGAAATGGCGTATCACTACACTAGTTACGACCGGATTTTACCATAATTCATCATCTAGTTTTTTCGCTAGTAAGCGATAATTATTTTTCCTACTATTCTCACCGTTCTACAAGCTTACGGGAAATAGTGACGTAAAGACGCTGTTCTGTTCGATTTGCGGTGGTAGACTATGACAAAATATGATGAAAATTAATGCACTAATATGCCGCTTCCGATGGTCGGAAGGATCGTCCTAGAATATAAATTCTGAAGTTAAGTATAGTATTTTTATTTTCTCAAAATCTTCGTTAATGATACTATCATTGTGCTTTCGAGAAAAAGAATATTAAATTATTTCTTTTGTTCGAGAAAGTTTTTGTTGAGCACATTAGCTACGAATAGGAACCGGAAACTTCCGTACAATGATCGTTCAACATCAACAAAAAAAGAAAAAAATAGAAATGCAAGATATTGAGTCTATATAATTAGACCAGTTATCTATGGCAATACAATCCTATATAAAATTCGATCATGTAAATGTTATTAGTAGTTTTAACTCAATTCCATTATTTGTTATCAATGCATACAATCAAACTAATCAATATTCTATGAAAATAAATACTCCTGTAGAAGGCTATCATTGTCGAATTAACTCAACATTTCAAAACACACATTCAACATTGTATGTTTTTTACCAAAACAAATCGATAAAGAAAATGCAAATCGTGTTAATATATTACAAATTAATAGTGATAACAAAAATCAATGTTTCATATAACTTTTTTAAATTTCAACTATTTTCACCATTCTGGTTTACAGCAAGAAAGTTGCTCACAGTATGTCCTTCGAATTCTTTGTTTCATTATTTTTTTTTTACCTCCAATCAATACTATCTATAATATTTTTTCTTGATATTAAACATTCCACCAACTTATCGTGAATCTTCCCAATTAACAATACACGTCGTTCATCATTACATATTCCAGTTAGTCTCCTTTCAAACAAAATCTGTTTTTTTATAAGAACAAAGAAAAGAGTGCTATGTTTATTAAATAATCTCAAAACATCTTTCTTTACATTCATAAATACACTTTACATAAATAGTTACGATATTTTCTCACTCTCAAATGATGTTTTAAACAAGCTTATACACACACATATAAAGACAATAAAAGAAAAAAAAAAAGATAAGTGTACAAAAGAGAAACTTCTTGATTTAGCGAATGTAATATTTTAACTGGTTGTTTCACATAATTTAACCAAATGTATTTTCACCTCCATAAGCAATATATAAAAAGCTATCTTCATCTTTACTTTCAGCATAGATTTGACTCATTGTATAACTAAAATTAAAAAAAAAATTAGTCTCAAAATTAATCCTATGAAAAATTCTATTACCTTGATGGAGGAATTTTTTGATTGACAAAAAGAAAGATTGCTTTTTCTGGTGCCAATTGAATTCGTTTACGAATGATCCACATAAATTGTGCAATTGTTATATCATTTGGAACCAAAAATTTACGTTTATCTATATCAGGTATTTGTGACTTTGGCACACGTTCAACCACAACCTAAAAAACAACAGAAAAAACTTAAACGAACAAATTTCAAAAGATCAATATACCGGAATACGTTCAGGATATTTAACCCGAATTTTTTCCGCTTCCTGTTTACGTTGTTCTATCAAATACAAAAATATAATACATCAATTAAATTGACAAGAAAAAAATAATAATTTACCAATTGGAGTTTCTTCCTTAAATCGAAATTTCATTGTTTAATATTAAATATCGAATAAATATTAACAAACAATTTTAATATAAAAAAAAAGTAAGTAATCTAAAAAAAAATGACTGATGATTCATAATGATCATATGACATGCAAAGAAAACTTATGCAGTATACTTTCTTCTATTGACTTGTCTGCTTACTTTTATGTTGCGAAATATTTTTACTTATGCTCACATACGTATCTACTGCCTCACGAATGAGTAAGTAATAAATGTGCTATCGAATCAGTATGTGAGGCAATAGAATGCGGGTGCTACATACGAAGGGAGGATATGTGCACCAAAAAAAGAGGAGTAGGTCACATGACGAACGAGTGAGCGACCGGCCAACTGTTGTATGGACAAGCATTCGTTGAAAGAAAAAAATATAAAAGAACGAATCAAATTACCAGCTGATAATGACCTCTTGAACATGATATCATGAGTCATTTTGAACGAGTCAAAATAAATTCATAATTATATATACTGTATATTAAGAATGAAAACAAGAACTGAAAAGATATTAAAAGTGTGAAGAAAAATAAATACTGCGGAGATTTTATACGTCATCGATAAAAGTAAATATTTTAGATTAACCTCTCTTGATAGGCATGCAATAGATGTCATTCTAATTCAGCGGATATAGTCTATTATACATACATGAATTCTCTGTGGACTTCGTTGATTTGAAAATAATATATGGAATTGATTATTATTGATAACCAAATATTGTTAATATTTAATTATACAATGACTATAAGAATATTTAAAATTTATATTGATTATGAATGCTGCTTGACGAGAGAATTTATCGAATTTAAATATAAATATCATTTAATTCGAAAACTACCAAGAAGTATGATTTAACTTATCATTCAGGAAGTTTCATTGTCAAAGACAATGAGTATCATAGATTGTCCTTTCATACAACAGTATCAACAAGCAGACATATCCAAAGTATACTATTGATCAGGATGTGACACTCGTCAACTAAACAGCTGAAGCATTGAATTTAATAACTAGATATCTTTTTTATGAGTTGAAATAATTACAAGTCTGACTTTATTTCAATGGAAAAAAGTGAATGGTTTAACAACTTCAGTTCAGATGGAAAATGCTTATCAGCAACTGTAAATACACATTAAACAAAATTGATTGATCTGAATCAATTTAACGAATCAGTTGAATGGGGAATAGATGCCTATTGATAATGATTTGACTGACTCTTGAGCTTTGCACAACATAACAAATTATTACATTCAAATTTCTTATTCAAAAGTTCCTAACAAGTCACTTTTATAACCATTGATTATATATATATATATATTGAAATTTGATATAAATTTCATTTTTTCCTTGACTCTGAATATTTTTATACTAATAAATCTATCATTTTTTTGACAAAAACACGAATATCTCGAGCGGGAATGGCAATCATCTTCTAATAACCTTGGGAAATTTATTTTCTTTTTGTTTGACACTACAAAGTTACTCTTGTTTATTTGCAATTATTAGAACACTCTGCTCTTCCATAATAGTCGAGTCTTCTCTTCAGCTCTAGCCGTCGTGGGACACTTTTACAAGATAATACAAGACACTAATTAACAATACTTGATAGAAAAAAAATATCTTTTTCCAAGTCATCTGCAAGACACTGTGACATTGTATATTTCTCTTTCAATAGAAATCTTCTATTATTTTGATGGGCTTGCATTATTGTTAATTTTGTTTTTCATATATATGCTTATGAACTTATAATATTGATACATCAACAATTATTGATAATAAATTCGAACATGTAATCATATCTGATGAATAATTGTTGAATTACTGCTTGTAGATATTTGTAATAACTCATTTTAGAATTGTAATTTCCTTGATTTCTATTCTATCAGAATCAGGCGAAGTCAATTGAACAAAACGACAATTAATCGTAGAATAAAATTGATTAAATATCTAAGATTGAATAATAGAATAAATTTATTAATCAAGGAGAAGATTGATATTTTGATCAACATTAATCTTTACTATTTAATAGTGAATATGGTTTTTAGTTTTGAAAGTTTTCGATAGAAATCCAGAGAAATTGATATTAACATCGAATATATATTTTAAGTCTTTTGTACAATGAGTGAAGTTGAATTCTTAGTTTATTTAATTCGATCGTAATAAAAGTCATAATTTGGAAAAAAATGAAGAAGTGACGTTGGTGGTTCCATAAGTATACGGACACAACTAATTAATACGATTAACTATTTATTACATGTATCGTGTTCTTTTTAGAAGATTTAAACTTTCTGAAAATGTTATTTTCTCTCTTTTACTAGACTAATATAAATACGTTCCATTGGAAAGAGAGATTTGATTATAAAAAGAGTAGGACACAAGAGATAGCAGTTTTAGGATTGGCAAAGACTCAAAACAACAAACAAAGGATAATATTTACTGAGCTTTGTTTCGGTTGAAAGAGTATATGTACTATTCATTTTATTTAAAGTAGATGAAAGGTTTGAGAAAGAAACAATATCTCTTTTGTCTTTAAAAAGTAGCATAATACAACTAACTTTAAGAATAAGAATACAAAAATTAAGCATCAAGTGTTATTTACAAGGTAAAATTATTGCAAGCATGGCGTCATGGAATTTGAAAGATTTAAAAACTACTATAATGTGGGCCTTAAAAGCCAAAATCAAATAAGACATTCAATTTTGAGTAGTATTATTTTTAAAGTGCACGTCTTAACAAATAATGAATTTCGCTACGTCGAAATCAATCCATAAAGTAAAAAAATAACTTTATCACAGCGATAACTTATCAATTCGATAGTTTGGGTGTTTTACTTGTGATATCTATACCAACAGATACCATATTTTGAAACAGCACTTTCTTTTTACAAATGAACACTTACTCATTCGAACATAGTAAATAATAAAATTTTTCTTATTAAACAGATACTCTTATTCAGATCATCATATCCTGCATTGTAATGAAGTATGCACTCATTCTTGTAACTGATGTAAAAAAAAAAAAACTTCTAATTCAAATGTATACATTATATAAGAATTTTGTGATATGGTAGTCTTAGTTAATATTTTTGGTTTTTCTTTTTCATTGGTCGTGATGATTATAATCTTTTATAATTATCTAAATTCTTTCTACATATATCATGGGTAATCAATTTTACTTTTGTTGTTTCATGTAATAAAAAATAATTGAGTTAATTTTATTCAAATATTTTATATATAAAAATAACTAAAATAAACAATATGATAAGATTCATGAATCATAATTAGACAATGTTTTCGACATAAGAGGTTTATACATAACATCAGTACGAACTGTATATTTTCGACCTTTTCTCAATGGTGCGCCTTCATGAAGTAAATCATGTTGAAATACAAGTACCATTCCTGTACGTGGTATAGATGAAACATTTTTAGTTGAATCCCAAAAATGAACAAAAGTTGTTTCTCCACCTTGAAAACCTTCATTTAAATAAAGTTGTATTGTCTAGAAAATCAAATGTACAATAGTTGACAATGAAAGGACCGAAGCACATCAGAACTTGTTTTGGTTCATTTATTTTTTTTTCTCAGAAATGAACATAAAAATGACCAGGTTTTGCACTGTTTGAGTTGATGTGAAGTCTTAAATTAGAAGCACTTATGGCACTTGCAAGCTTGATCATTATCATGAGATTTCTTCGTATTATGAGCTAAGAAAACAGATGCTTCTTTTAAGATGCACTTACAAGTCAATGAGCTCACTCATAGTGTGATCAATAGAACATGATTTGTGATGCATTGTTATACCAAAACATTAAATAAATGATCTTTCGTTGAGTCGAGAATGAGCAGACAAGAATGTTTGAACAATCCAAATCGATGGAATAATGATCATTAACCGATATCGAAAGCCTTATGTCTCAGAAAATAAAAATGAACATGTCGCCAAAATTTCAATGTTAGTAGAGTACATGATGAGCTACAAGAACATATATAATTTGTCAAAGAAAAAATATGGTCACATGTTCGAAGTCGAGACCCTTTTGTTCGGATAGGTAAAAATTGCCATTTTTTAACTGATATTTGTCAATTTTTATTAGATTTGTTACTTTTCTCGTGAAAAAAAAATAATATATTTGAAATCAGCATCAATAGCTAAGTTAACTTAGATGTGTTTCAAATTGTTCGGACAACTTTTATTTTTGTCGAAAAATTCACTCTCTG